GCATCTTATCCAGCAGTCATCAGGAGTGAGAGGGTTCAGAAGCCCAGGATACAGGAAGCTAAAAATTCAGTGAGCCAGGGACCTGGGAGACATCACATATTAGGACACTTTACTAAGCACTAAATGTAAAATTCATTGAATTTTTAAAAAGATTTTATTTTGGGGGATCCCTTGGTGGCTCAGCGGTTTGGTGCCTGCCTTTGGCCCAGGGTGTGGTCCCGGAGTCCCAGGATCGAGTCCCACGTCGGGCTCCCTGCATGGAGCCCGCTTCTCCCTCTGCCTGTGTCTCTGCCTCCCTCTCTCTGTGTCTCTCACGAATAAATAAATAAATCTTTTAAAAACTTATTTTTTTACTTATTCACGAGAGACACAGAGAGGTAGAGACACAGACAGAGGGAGAAGCAGGCTCCCTGGGAGAAGCCTGATGCAGGACTCGATCCTGGGACCTCAGGATCAGGACCTGAGCCAAAGGCAGATGCTCAACCACTGAGCCAACCAGGTGCCCCTCATTGAATTCTTACAATCTTATTTCTGTAGGCGAGGAAATGAAGCTCAGAGGCTTGGGGCAATTTTCTATACAGCAATAAATAAGCACTTTTTATGCAGAGGTGACTGAGGCTCAGAGAGGTTAAGTGACTCATCCAAGGTCACACAGCTGGTAAGTGGTAGAAATGGAGTTAAGATGCCTCAACTACATGTTCTTAATCACTAGACTCTACTGAGGCTTCATGAGCTCTGAGTCAGGCATCTGCCAAAGCTAGAGGGGGGAACGCAGGGCTCTAAGTTTCAGGGTCACAGGCTGGAGGGGGAACTTGCCAGCAGAGCTGGAGGCACTGTGTGACAGCATCACCTGCAGTTGCTTGGTGTGTGATTGGGATTGTGTGGATATTAGTTTACTTCTGCCCAGCCGAACATCCTGGATGGAGCATGAACAGCCTCAGACCACTTCCTATGCCAGTTGTAAAGATCAAGTTGGAGCTGGTTTGTCTCTCATTTTTTACAGGTCAGTCAAAAGGGCCTAGTTGGCTCCCAGGAGTGGAAGTGCCAAGTGAGCAGGGATTTAGGACTATTTTATTGTCCTTCTCTTAAAATAGTGACTGGTCTCTAAATACAAAAAGATACCTGGAGAATAAGTGAACAATCAATGAATAAAAAAGTTGAACCCTCCCTCAGGCTTTGCCATGAATCAAACTATGTGCAAGGTGCTGACAGCACAGCAAGACGACACCTAATGCGAACCAGGGCTGCTCGAAAGCACAGATCCCAAATAGAACTGCAAGGGAGATTGTAAAGCGGTCATCAATCAGAATGGTTTCAGAAGCTCCCTTTGCAGCCATAAGGATGGTGGCCTGAGGGGGAGTTCCTGGTAGCAGAGACCAGCTAGAAACTATTTAGTCCAGTTAAGAGACAGGAAGTCAAACTGACAATTTTTATTTAAAAATGGGGAGGGGCAGGAGGAGAGGGAGAGAATCCTAAGCAGGCTCCACACCTGGCTCAAAGCCCGATCCGGGTTTTGATCTCTCCAGCCTGAGATTGTGACTGAGATGAAACCGAGTTGACTGCTCAACGAACTGAGCCAGCCGGGTGCTCCCAAACTGGCAAGTCTCTAGAACCAGGCATGGTTTCTGGTGTGCCCTTCACCCTCACAGGGGTGTCTGGTCATAAAAAGGAGCCACTCAGGTTGAAGAAACTAGTTATTGGGATATGCTCTCAGGCCCCATCTGGGCTAGGCCATGGAGCTCTGAACCCCAGCTTCACCTTCCCCTAGAGAACCATCTGGAGAGTTGCAGAGTAGTCACACCTCTTTGGTAGTTTGATTCTCCCATTTCCAGGCTCCTGAATCACCGTCCAGGTACACCTGCGGAGTGGACGACTTCATGGTCTGTCCAGAGTCACAGTCCGACTGTAATACTACTTATGCAGCTCCCTGCACTAGGTGAGGAAAAGAGTGATTGGAAGTGGCAGAAAGAAAATGCTGGGCACTCCGTGTTAATGAAATCCTACACTTCCAGGGAGAGTGGGGTTTGGAATGTTGGGATGAAAACAGAGGTGGTCCAGAAAGCAGTGCTACAGAACATTAAAAATAGTTGTGGAGAGTGTTCAGGTGATTTTTAAAAACTATTTTACTTTTCTGTATTACCAGAATTTTTATAATAATTTCATAATAGGAAAGGGTGTGGCTCGTAACACTTGGTGAACTGAGGTAGCTGGTAGATTGAGGAATGTTTTTTTAAAAATAATCCTAAACTTGATTCAACCAAGTGTTGCATTCTGCTTTCAATAGTGTTTCTAGAAGACAGAAATAAAATACTAAGCACCATGTTATCCTAATATTGGTCCCTAATAAAACCAATCACCTTGGAACAAAGGTCTCAGAACAGTAGGGCTTACCTCAGTGTCATGGAGTAGAGTTGAAAAGTACCAATAAAGGATTACATTCAAGCCTTCACTATCAGCAGCAACCTCACTCTCCAAAAGATAGCAATTTTGGTGGCAATTGAGCAAATTAAAAATAGGAGACACTTTTAAGATTTTTTTATTCATGAGACACGGGGGTGGGGGTGGGACATGTGGGCAAGTAATAAGCAGGCTCTTCCCAAGAGCTGGATGAGGGACTTGATCCTGGATCCCGGGATCCCGACTGGAGCTGAAATCAGCCGCCCAACTACTCAGCCACCCAGGCGTCCCAGACATTGTAAATAAAAACCTAGCCTTAAGCCATGCAGTCAAGGACCAGTAACAAGACAACCCAGCAACTGCTGTATGACACACATATGAGAAGTTTTAAGTGTCCTAGATTTTTTTCTCCCCTAATTTCATTTTGCATTTGAAGGAATGGACACTCAGGTTAAGGAATTTGCCCAAGATTTTACAGCTAGAACAGAGAGAGCTCTTAGAGAAGGGACATGAGTGAGCCCAACACTTGATAAACCTGTGTCATTGTCTTAGCTTGGGTTTCCTAGACACAACCGCATGCAGAATGTTGGAAGAGCACAGCCCTGCAGAACACCTTGGAAAAGTACCCCAGTGCCAGGTCCTTAAGAGAAAAATAATGCCACATGTACACGACATGACCATTTTCAAGCCAAAGAAAGGGAACAGATCCTTCCCTCACAGCCCTCACAGTAACTAACCCTTATGCCTTGATTTTGGAACTCTTGCCTCTAGAACTGAGACAATAAACCCCAGTTTGTGGTACTTTGTTATGACAGCCCTTAGCAACTAATACACACCTTAGCAGAAACTGTGGTTCTGACCTTAGGTATTAAACATAGTACAGCCTTTTCCCCCATCACTTCACAAGCCTGCAACCCTCCCACTTCCACAAACCCAGGGTCTTTCTCAAAGTGCTAGTTTGTTCTACTTAACCTATTTAAATCTCAAATGTGTAAAATACCTATATAATAATGTTGCACTGATATTTAGTGCTGCAGCTCCAAGCCCATTTTCCCCAACAGCCTATGGTGCAATTTTCAGAGTGTAACAATTTTTAAGGAAGATCAAATTGTATCAACACTGCATAAAAGGGGTGGCGGCATGGGGAGTAAGATTATGCTACTTGGGAATATTTTCAAGTGTGAACTTCTCATATCCAGCTTTACACTCTAATGCCCCCCCCCCCCCCGCCCGGAAGCCTAACTGTAAACCCAGTTCTTAACCTGGCAACATGAAGGCAATGTTCATAAACATTTTTTAAATGATGCTTTTCTTTCGGGAACCACTACAGTGCTCCTCCCTCTCTCAGCAAGTTGTTGCATCCTCGTAGAATTAGGAGAATAATCAACCTGAAAAACGCTCTTGCTTCATTTCGGTCTTAGAACAGTAGGGAAAACTATCTTAAGAGGGTAAGTTTAAGTCATGAATTAATGCTGAGGGACATTCTCAGAGATAAAAGATACTTGCACCCTTGGTTTGGAAATTCAAGAGTTGCATCAGTGAAAAATACACTTGGAATATGGAACAGAGAAAACCCCCAGAAAACAACTGTAAGACACAGAAAAGATGGGAGGAAATCAGTGAAATCCAGAGAAAATTCCTAACCCTTAGTCAAGTGTCTCCCCCCTCCCACTTTCCTTCTACATCCTGCTAAAAATTGAGTGGTGTCAAGGTTATAGGCACAGATAGTCTGGCACCATTATTTAGAAGAAACTGATTTATCTGGGCCTAAATTTAATCTAATATCCTACTAGTTTACTGTTAAGACTTTCTTTTGTACTCTTGCAATGTCTCTGTGTGTGTGTTGTGTGCCTGCGCACGAAGGAAGAATACATGATCACTTCACCTGTCAACTGCAGATTCTTAACACTTTTCAATTTTCTGTAACTGATCCAGTGGCAACCTTCTCCAACGAGGCCATCAACTGCACAGGGTTTTGACAAGCATAAGCAGCGTTACGGTAGAACCAGGATTTGAAAGACCATTTGACAACAGAATTGCTTTTGAAGCTATAGTTAGGTCAAGGAATTCAGGAGTTCTGTAACATGTTTCTTAGCTGCTCCAAGACAACACACAAAATAAGCATGTTGGGTAAATTAGCCCTTCTATTCATTGCCTATTTTTAAAAAGTTTGCCCAGTCCCAGTTTCCAACAGATAAAACCCAAATTCTTCAACTGTATCAAATACTGGTCAGAGTGCCCGAAGCCTGGAGTAGTTTTGTGTTCCCCCATCTATACTCCATTCTAGGTGAAGACCTAAACTATGATGAAGATAAATGTAGTACCCACAATCTGTAGTTAAAAAACAAAAAACAAATTTCCTCAGTAACATTTAAGAGCAGGCACTGTTTTCAGGTTAACTTTAACTTGCCCAAATGGATGATCATACATCACCAGAATTTTAAACTTAAAAAGGCTTTCTTGTTTCTATACCTTCCCATCCTGAATCAGCAATGAGCTAGGAAAAAAAAGAAATCGAATTTATACCATTCTTGTTAACTCAAATTTAACTGCAGTCCCAGAATAAAAGGCTCCAGAAATCATAAATTATCAAAACAGTCACCTTAAAGTTGGTAGATTATTTTAAGTAGGTATAGATTAGCCTCCAGCAGTGCCAGAAAAAGACCAGAACCAGTTGTTTCTTATTCCTAAGCTAGTTTTATTCCCATTATGAAAGCCTGAGTGTGCAAATATATCATTCTTTTATTTTGCCTTCATTATGGACAAGACAGGAATTAAAGTATTTGGAGGATTTATTCACAAGTTGAATGTGGAAGACTATGAATTCTTCTCTGATCTTATACCTTGAAGCCAATTAAGTATTTTTACTATATTGTTGGTCAAGTTGCTAATATCTATAGTGAGAAAATACAAAGTCCCCAACAAGGGACAAAAAAGATTGAACAGTGGCTTTTTAAACACAATATTTGCATTGAATATTACAGTGCCCACAATTACTTAGAATACCTACCTTAACTTATATAAAACAATTTCATTTAGTCTAAGTTTAAACTTCAAGAGGCTGGTAAATTAATGGATCTAGAAAACATGGCCCTGGAAACCTCTCAGTGCTCACATATATATTCAACATCATCAAAATCTTCCACATGTAATGCCCAGCATCATTTTACCAGATTTGCTACTTTATAATAAAGATTCTGAAAGAATACTCGCAAGTTAATATAAACAAAGTTGATATGCAGAATTACCCTTTCACGATAGAAGCCAAAGTAAAACATAAGGAGGAATAAAAACATTTTATCTTGTGTATTCAGAATCACACACAAATTACCTTTACAGTTCAATTTACTATATAGAAATCATTTGGGTTTTATATTTTCAGTTAAATTCTGAGCAGAGATTACAATATTGTAAAAAAAAAAAAGATTGTTACATTAATTGAGTACTTTTTAGCATACCAAATTGAAATACATTAAGTTCAAACTTCAGATTTATGGCAAACAGTCTTCAAATACAATACAGACATTTCTCAAAGTTACCATCTCATTCACATGTGATATTTGCGACTCTTGAGCTGTAATACATAGAACTTTCCTATGACTATGGCAAAGTTGACATGCCATGAAGCTCAAAGCTGTGTAGTCAAGCCAAGGACTCAAAGTTGTACCATTTTGTAAAAAATGGTTTGTCATTTCTGGACCACAAAGCACAACATGTAAAGGAGGCTGGGAATAATTCCTCCACTTTATTACGGTTTAAAAAAGTTGCATGTAGCTTGGAACTTTGCATAAAACCCCATATTATACCTTGGTAAAGTCCAAGGGTAATTACAGAGGACAATGGACTGGGGTCTTAAATTTTATTATTAGAACCCATGAAATTCAAATGGGCATCAATCAAATCAAAAAATATTAAGCACCTACTGGTTTAGGTTGAAATTTATTAGAGATTCATGATCAATTTCTTTCCACCTTGAAATCAAGGTGTAAAAACCAGCTATTAAGTGCATTCCAAACTTCTCCTATGTAGCACAGGTAGAATTTTCTGTCCATTGGCACCAAAGTGAAGTCACATTTCCTCTTGGGGAGACAGAAATTCCACATCTGAACATAGAGTAAGTTAGGAAAAAATGACCCCTGTTGTTTATTTTATTACTCTTGTGATTCTGAGGTCTAGGATTACTAATATACTAGCAGTGAACAACGCAAACTCCTGGCAACAACTGTCAGGTTAGTAACACTAACTCCCTTCCCCCAGTCACAAAATTTTAGTATGAAAAGAATTAAAATTACAAAGCTGAACAAATGGGAAATAAGAAACTAAGCATAACTAAAACAAAAACTCCTACTAAAGTTTGAAATCACTGCAATTAAGAAATTGAGAACAGGTGTGCTTCACCCCACTCCCTACAACTCTGAATTTAAATAATATTCCGTGCAAAAAAGCATCAGGTTTCTGGATATAGATGTAGCCCTTCTCTAAGTTTTAGTGCGTTGCAGAATTCTCTGCGTTTTTATCCACCCCTCCCCCCCCGTTTATTCAAAGTATTTAATAGAATCTTCCATTTCAGCCAAAAGATTTGTAATTCAAAGATTTACTAAGGTATTCTATGCATCCTATCTATACAGAAACACCTATTAATTATTACAATTGGTTTATGCAGAATTAACATTTTTGGTGTTAAAATTGTTAAACATCATGCTTATCGCACATCAACTCTCCATGAATCTGAACTTCACAATGATTTACCAAACATTTTACTTAAATTACTATTTAAATAACTGAAAAAAATGTACTGAGCCAAACTAAACTTAAATGGGCTATAAAAGAAAAAAAACCTTCAAAACAGTCCATATACACATCTATTTCAAAACCACCTTTCCTAGCTAGCCCCTTTCCCAAAGTTTTAGCCTGAAAAAACAGTAAAATCTACACAAAAATTTATTGCAATCATACAAGGGTTACATTAGGTCAAATACAACAAATACTATGATGCAATTTTACATTTATTAAACTACAGTTCAAAGCACAAATTTACACATTCTAAATACACTAAACATATCTAATGAAGTCACACTAGTCTTCCACTGACATTTGATATATCTGGGTGAAAGACATTTAATTTTACAAGACTTTTTAACATGAATCCTTAGTATAAAAACTGTGTACTTGTATGTAAACGATTTAATGGGGAACCCAATTAATGGGCTTCCATCTCCACTAAGTCATCCATTTTGTTGCATATTTTATTTTAAACGCTTAAGGGGGTAGGACAAACTGTTAAGTTTACATCTGGATACATTATCTAAATTTCCCAATTACCCCCAATGAATTATAGATGAAAGCTGATTTCGCCTGGTCCCAAATAGCTATTACTAATAGATTTTGTCTCCAAGAGAATTAATAGAGTAAGATTGTTTGAATTTGTTTCACACTGGAATGTAGACCAGACAAGCTTAACCTGCAACTTCAGATCTCAAGAAGCATTAATGCCTGTTTAAGCTTCAGAGGAAAAGCTATCTTCTTGGCTCAGCTGAATGCAAGGCACAAAGAAGAAGTTCTTCATCATTGTGTCTGAAGTAAGTCCAGCATCTTGCATCTCATACCTGTCAAAAAAAAAAAAAAAAACAAAAAACAAAACAAAAAAACCCCCAAACCCCCAAAAACATAAAACCGTTAATTCTGAGTTTAAGCATAAAGACCACATGAACACATAACAAATGGACAATGAAATAAGATTATAAAATAACTAGTCCTCCAATAACCCTTAACAGGGGCATTTTGCTATTATTTGTAAGTGAGGCATTTGTCACAGAATTAAAATTATTAGCCGACATGTTATGTCATCTTGAATATCCAATCAACTTTACGATGAAAACAATACCTTACCAATCGCTAAATGACATCATGTAGTAAATAGCTGGCCTCTGAAAATCATTAAAAGCAGATGGTTCATGGAGAGAATCTGCTCCCATGTTATCAAAGATAAGCCAATCTCCCACATTCAGCTCAGGAAGAAGACAGCTTTCCACAATTTGATCAAGCTCATCACAGGATGGACCCCAAAGGCTGCTTGTAAACAGAGGCTCATCTTTCTTGTATTTCTGTCAGGAGAAAAAAAAAAAGTTTTCTAAATTAAGTTTTTAACTCATGTTTATTTCATGCAGGTATTGAATTTGAGGGTAGATGAGAATATTTTTTACTCTATCAGATTCAATATGCCTATGAAAGGCAGGCTTGGAGCCAGGAGCATTGGTGCTCCTTCTTAACTCCATCTAAGGAAGATAAATCCTCAAAAGGGAGCAATATTCACCATCTTAAAAGCATCTCTCCAAAACTTAGGAGGCACCTTTTAAAAAAAGAGCTCAGTTTATAAATGCCAAGTAAGTTGTTGTTATACAACTTGCCTTGTGAACCTCTGGAATGGTATTTAAGTCCTCAGACAGTTTACTTGCAAAAGAACCATAAATACCATCATTCATATAATACATGAAGGCTGGTTCATCACTTCCGGTTTTTTCTACTGAAATAAAGCAGAAAAATGAAAATGAATTTACATTAAAATGTCTAATAAAGCTAACTATGCAAGGCATAGCAGATTGAATATTTATAGAACAGACTTAGTTTTCACATTTCCCAAAATTTTATTTAAATCAAATCTTAAAAAATCTGATGTATACTGACATACCTCAATACTGTCAGCCTAAAAAACTGAAAACATACTTCACAAGGAAGACGACCAATGAACACATGAAATATGTTCTACAGAAGTCACCAGGTAAATGCAAATTAAAATTATGAGTTTCTACCAACACACACCTTTAGAATGGATAAAATTAAAAAGCGACCACACACAAAAAAAAAAATCAGTAAAAGTGGGGGAACAATCAGAACTTGCACATCCCCCATCAGTGGGGAGATAAAATACTACTTTGAAATTTTTGACATCTACTCTGACCCAGCAATTCTACTCTTAGTCATTTCCCCAATGACTTACACAAGAATGTTAAGTTTTATTCCTAACAGCTCAGAACTGGGAACCAAATATTCATCAGCAAAGAGAATGGATAAAGTCTATTCACAGTGGAATATTACAATAAAAATGAAACAAAAGCAGCTCAGATATTTTTTAATCTTTTTTTTTTTTTAAGATTTATTTATTTATGAGAGAGAAAGAAAGAGAGACAGAGAGGCAGAGACACAGGCAGAGGGAGAAGCAGGCTCCATGCAGGGAGCCTGACATGGGACTCGATCCCGGGTCTCCAGGATCAGGCCCTGGGCTGACACTGGTGCTAAACTGCTGAGCCACCCAGGCCGCCCTCAATCAGATATTATACAGAGTTGTCCTAAAATATATGCTAGATGATTCCATTTATATGAAGTTTGAGAGCAATCCAAACTAATCTATGGTGGAAAAACCTTCACAATAGTGACTGTCTAGGAAAGAAACAGAAAAAAAAAAAAATCCTAAGATATGAAATTTGTTTCCATAGGGATGTCAGTATATACTTTGTCACATTATATGCTTAAGATTGTACTCCTTGTATAAAAATTTATGCCAAAAACCAACCCTAAACAGATACCAAACTACAGGTTAAGTGGTTTGGTTAACTGCTGGGATAGGAGTTAGCTATTTGGGAAACACCACCTTCTATGTATTCCAGACTTAAGCAAACATATGTAGTATACGATAATGGGAGCTACGTTTCTCACTCTTGGGAAAGTTACAATGTGTAAGGAGAAAAACAGAATGCAGCCTGTGATATACTACTGCATGCCCGGCTTCTGATACATAGTTATGTGTGCTAAGCATATATATGCACACACACATTTCCTGGTTCTCTTCAGTGAGAAAGCTTGGATGAAATGATGTATCAGTAGTAGTGAGTACAACCAAATACCACTCTTCGTTAAAATGAACTGGAGCTCCTTGGAGAAATGGCCAATTCTAGGACTGAGGCAGGTAAAGAACCTGGGTATCTTGATGTACCATGAAGTAAAGAAGTGCTCAGGCAGTGATGGAGGCATGTCGTAAGGACCCCAATTTTGGATAGTAAATAATTAAAAATAATTGATTACATACTGAGTATCTAGGAGTTTACACTAATATAAATAAAGAGAAGGGAAAGCTATTCTTAGACTAACAGTCAGAAATTCACTGATGTTAAAACTAATGGGGTAAAAGTATGAAAAGAAAAAAGGTTATTTACAAATTATCTTTCCACTTCATAATACAGAAATCCACCGACATCATGTTAACAAAGTGATCAAAATGGGAAGTTCCTGGTCTTTTTGTAGCTCTTCAACTTTAAGATATTTAAAAACTCAAAAGAAAAACTTATCCTTACTAACTGAAGGAAAAACGGTCTTCTTAACATAGAACAGTACTTTCTACATTTTTTTAAAATAAACTTTTATTTATTTATGATAGTCACACAGAGAGAGAGAGAGAGAGAGAGAGAGAGAGAGAGAGAGAGAGAGAGAGGCAGAGACACAGGTAGAGGGAGGAGCAGGCTCCATGAATCAGGAGCCCGACGTGGGACTCGATCCCGGGTCTCCAGGATCGCGCCCTGGGCCAAAGGCAGGCGCCAAACCGCTAGGCCACCCAGGAATCCCACTTTCTACATTTTTAAAGTGGTATTTGTCAGCAAGAAACAAGGTCTAGTGCTTTTTTGTTGGTTTGACTAGAGACAGATTAAGACTCTGTTGGCCCTCATTATGTAAGAAAGTATAAAGTTAGGTTCTCCATGTGAACCATCTGACTAAGAGGAACAGGACAAGAGACATTATAGTAACACACTGGTTCTTAACAAGATAGGAGAATCACCTAGAGGAAGTTTATCTAAAATACACCTATCTAGGGGTATGTGGGTAGCTTAGTTGGTTAAGTGACTGACTGGATTTTGGCTCAGGTCAATCTCAGGTCATGAGATTGAGCCGGGCCTTGGGCTCTGCACATGAGCATGGAGCCTGCTTAAGATTCTCTCTTCCTCTGCTCCACGCCCCGCCTCCCCAATATGCCCATAAGGTCTCAATTATTTGGGGGAAAAAAAAAAAAAGTAAATAAAATTAAATTAAACATCAGAACCAAGAGTTAGATTCCGGAGGTCTTATGCAGTGTTAACTTCACTATGGCATTTTTGAAAAGCCTAGCTACCTACAGCTGGTTAAAGATCACCCACAATGTTATAATCCATAAATGTCCATGTCCTACAATATTATATACTTGACTAGTATAATTGCAATTAGTTTGAAGATAAATTTAACTAAGAAAAACAAAATTATAAACTTCGTAACTTACCTCCAGAGGAAAATTTATCATTTTCAACAACTTTCTTTGCAATGATATTAACTGCAAGTGTAAATGCAGAAGACACATAGTAGCTTCCAGGTTCTGAGATTATCTTAATGCCAGATCCTTCAGGAAAGTAGACATCCAACAAAGGGCTGATAACATGATTAACCTATGAATTTTAAACCCCACATTATGATTTCAATATTGAACTAGATAATTAACATTAAGAGACGGATATATTTCCTAGAAAACTTAAAGCCATAGTTCCAGTTATAGACCAGAAAGCTTAGCTATTTAGCAGTTACCTTCAAACAATTAAGCAGGCTTTTGAGGCATCAAAGTTTATATTATCAGAATGGCTAATAATTAATTAATTTAAAAAAATTTCGTAATACCAAGGGTGAATGGCTACTGCTGATTGTTTCTATACCCCTTAACACTAGCAAAGAAGGAGCAACACATCAAATCAGTTTGAGACAGAGGGCACAGCAGGAAGGTGAGTAGTAATGTACATCTGGATAAAACAACTTAAGCTGTCCAAATAATAATTTCATTTGTGCCATCAAGTACTCCATAAGAGCAGAAACACAACTGAATACAAACTTTTTGTAAGTTATGCTACAGAGTTCATAGAATATTAAGCCTTTCAAAGTGGGGTAGGTCTTCTCATTGCCTCTTCACCTTCTTAGAATCAAATTTTAAGCAGATGTTTTAGGGTTTATTTCCTGCTGTTGTTATACCATTGTCTATATCTACCACTTAAGCAGAGAGATTATTCCAGTATTCCATCCAGTGAACAAAGTTTACCTCTTCCAACTGAAATTCAGTTCCTGTGAAGCCTCCGCCAATATCTAACATGTTCATTGTGAAACCAAATTCTCCCTAGAGATGGAAAAAAATACTTTAAATGCTTATCCAAACTGTCATGACTACAAGGACATTTCAAAAACCCCTTCCCAAGGAGGTAAACAGAATCTGTTCTCATCTTTAATATAGCTTCAGTTTTGGTATCTACCAATAAAAGCAGGTTTATTCAGTGTTGTGTATATACTGTCTTCCTAACGATGTCTGTACTGTCTTGTAGACATGCAAGTAAGTTACTATTTCATCCCTTTACCCACTTTTTTTTTTTTAATTTTTTTTTTTATTTATTTATGATAGTCACAGAGAGAGAGAGAGAGGCAGAGACACAGGCAGAGGGAGAAGCAGGCTCCATGCACCGGGAGCCCGATGTGGGATTCGATCCCGGGTCTCCAGGATCGCGCCCTGGGCCAAAGGCAGGTGCCAAACCGCTGCACCACCCAGGGATCCCCCCCTTTACCCACTTAAAAACCTTAAATATTATCCCGGAGGGGTGCCTGGGTGGCTCAATCAGTGGAGTGTCCCACTCTTGGTTCTGAGCCCTGAGAGGGCTCCATGCTGTGTGGAGACTGCTTGTCCCTCTCCCTCTGCTCCTTCTTCTGCTCTCAGGTGCACACACTTGCGTGCACACACTCTCTCCCCCAAATAAATGGTAAATAAAATCTTTGAAAGACAAAGGAAAAAAGAGGAAAAATAAGTAACACTCTGGCTTAAAATATCAAAATAATTTAAGGAAAAAACTTACAGCCATGTCAAACACACATCGAGCATCAGATAGAGCGTGTACATATACTTGAGATTCTTTGCAAGCACTTGAAACATGAAATCTGGAAGAAAGAGAGTAATAAATTTAAAGCAACAGCAAATTTTAGACACCCTTCCTATAATTCTTTTCAGTTCTCCTTCACCATATTGACAGTATTCGCAATAACCTTATTAAATACTTGAAGAATTGGAAGCACAGGCCTCTAATTATCCAAGTTGTAATAACCAGCCTTTCAGAAAAGGCAATGTTTGGGTAATACTTTAATTTTATAAAGAATTTTTAACAATGAGTTATCAGGCTTTATAAATATCAGATAAGGACATGCCTTTCTGTATCTATAGTAAAGCACCACTGATAAAACTGGGTCACAAAATCTGTAATTGGAATGTATAATTTTATCTGGCCAAAAATAAAAATGTCTATTATGAAATACAAATGAACATTAATTCAGCTGAGTATTACTAACACTTATTAGTATTACTTATTAAGAGATACTTATCAGACATTCAAAACAGAATACCTAAATTTAATCGAATATGGTTCTATATCCTGATTGTGGCAGTAGTCACACAAATACATTAAAGTTCATGAAGTATAAAACCAAGAGTCAATTTTACTGTATGGTAACAAATAGAAATATGAAAACTCTCAAATCTATGTCATTATTTGTCACTTAAGGGAAAATTAAACTTAACAGTCATGATTATCCATCTTTATGAACAATTTAAAAACATTTTGCACTGTAATGAGATTAGCAATGGACTGGCAACTCAAAAATCTGGAGCTTTGTGTCCAAATTTGACTCAGATCACAGTTCTGAGATTATGATCAAATCATTAAATCTCTCTGGGTCTCAGTTTTCTGCACACATAAAAATCAAGAAGGTAAAACAATGTCTGATTTACTGGCGTGCCCAAGGGATTGAAAAGGAAAAAAAATTTAAAGATGGGGAAAAAAAATAAAATGACACAACTCAGATGAATGCCACTTTGGTAGTCATTAGAATTCTAGTACAACCTTTCCCTTCAATTTAAAAGAAGAGGTTTTACATTATGAACTTAATTCAATTTTTATTTACTATTTTTTCTCTTAATTAGGAAAGGGGAGGTGCATGTATAAAGTTATATGAAGGTTAAGTCATATGTTTTTCCTAGACTAAGAAAATACGTATTAAACTGAAAGTTGAATCTACTAGAGTTCATGCAAATAAAGTCTCAAAAAAATCATCAGAAAGACAAAGGTTTAACATAAAAATAGAAGTTTAAAACAAATACTCACTTAACCCCAATTATTTGGACATCAAGTTCCTTAGCACATTCCAAGAGATGCCTACAGTTCTTCAGGGTAGTGCCAAACTTCATGTTACCCTCTTCGCCTCCAATATTATCTTCTGTTGCAATATGTAGTAAGACCCTAAGAGAAGGGGAAGATGATTGGGGCAGAGTTGGTTTACATCATCATCAGCACATGTGAAGCCTGAAGATTGTAGGAAGTATGTTGATTATGTTGCCAGTGCTCCCAAATCCAGCGACGGTTGAATCAAGTGAACCTAATGAAAAACAATCCTGTACAGAGAAAAAACTAGCCATTAGGGCCTAAAGCATGAAGCTTACAAGGATGGGAATTTGGAAAATGCAGGAAGTTAAGACTCTGTTGTAGCAGCAAGAGTCAGTTGGGCTCTGTAATGAAAGACGACATTACTTTCAAATGAAGTCCATCAGTCCATAAAACCACCTAGAAAGACTAAATTGAATAGCAATGCCATCATTGTCTTTCAGTTAAAAATATCAGGGCTTTTACACGTTTCAAGTCTCCTAAATTGCTCCAGCTAGTTAACCTTCCACCACCTACTCCTATTAATCTCTTCCATCTTACAAAAAACAAGCAAGCTTGGAGTTATCTTATGTGTCTAAACAGTAGCCTTTTAGATACTGAGTCAAATCTACTCGATATTTTCTTCCAAATCATAACAACCAAGACAAAATGATTGAGACTATCTCAGGAGATACTCAAGTAATTACAAACCACTAAACCCCACAAATCTACAAATGCTGTTTGTAAATTCCTTTCCCCAAGGAAGTCCTAAGTAATGACTGATGGTCAGAGGAGATAGTCTCATAAAAGCAAAATTATTCTTCCTATGGGTAGAATCAGCTCTATTAAGTATGTACCATCCACTTTACAGTTAAACACAGTAACCCCATATCAGTCAGGGCTTATCTTCTGAAGATCATATAACAAAGATTTTTTTAGAGATAAGTGGTTAACTAAAAATTTCCCCAAAAGGCCTTTATGAAAAACAAAGGTTTCCAGGGTAATCAATCTTGTCAGGACACCTAAGAATACCATCAAAGTCAATAATAAAAAATGTACAAGGAAAATATGGATATGATACACATTTTTAAGGAACATAAGTAATAACCCATTAAAAAATAAGCAATTTTGTACATATTAATACAATATGCTTTTAGTATATCCTAAAGTCTTGACATACCAAATCACGACCATATTAAATTTGCCTTTTTTGCTCTTTAAAAAGTAAACTTTTTAATTATAAAAAATCTTGGGATACATGCAGGTACAAGTAAAAAAAAATTAAACTTCTTATTCAAAGAGAAGAGTGGGTTTAAAAGAGAAACCCCTCAAAAATGTACAGACTAGGCTCCTAAAACACTGTCACTAAGGACAAATCACTTAGAAACTACAGCCAAAGGAAGATTAAACCCTCAGCTAACTAGGAAAAACAGCTGACCAATACACATCCTATTCCCAACATGACAAATAACTAGTAGGGTTGATGTATTTTCATAATCACATCTGTGGCCCTCATTTCATCATCCCAACAACCACATTTTATTCCTTGAATTAAAGATTATAAATTCATATTTTAAACTGTCCTTATCTCATCCCAAATCTACAAACAGGATCCAAAGAGGGTAGGCAATAAAATGCCATTTTCCATATAGGAACTTTAAGTAAAAAAATATTGTAATATATACCACTGCTCTACATAAATGTCCTTTTCCCAGGCCAAAGACAAATCCAAACCCTAGGCTGTAAAGTAATATTCACATGTACTCAGTTTTACACTTACTTGGCATTTGGGTGATTACGTGCAATTTTCTTCAATTCAACTTCATTGTCACATGTCATGGTGTTCACTCCAATTTTTGCTGCATACTTTATTTGAGACACTTGTTTGCAAGGACTTATGTAAATGATGTTTTCTGGAGATACACCCAATTCTTGCACTAAAGTCATTTCAGTCTATTAAAAAAAATTTAAAGCGTTGCTTAAAAAGTAACATTTCTATTATTTTTCATTTAATTACTACTTTATACTTTTTTTGGTGAGGGCTAACCTCAAATTATAAAGTTAAATTAGGATAGCGTAAGGTCACAGTTCACATATCCTGGTAATGCTTACTACACTACTGTTTAAAAGCCTTCAAAAAGGTCTAACTATACCATCAGAGAAATCCCATGATTTACAATTAGCTTGTTGTCATCAGAAGTTAATGGTCTAGCTGGCTCTATCTAGCCTAAGAATGAGGAATAAAAAGTTCTTGACTAAAGATAAAGCTTTTCAAGTTTCATCTCACTGAAACTTTCCTTTCATTGGTACACCTTAAAAGTTTGTAAATTTCCATTAAGCTGCAAATTTACACAAGAGTTTAAAAACATCCAAAAGTAAAATTACCTTGCAATTTTTCTAACTGCTGTAACTAAAAGTTAAAGTGTGTTCTAAAATGTTGCTGTTAAGTGACTAAGTAATGAAAAATACTTACTTTACTGGAACAAGCAAATCCAGTTCCAAGAGCTGCCAAAATCTCAAGTACAGCTGGAGTGGAGTTGCACTTTACTGTGTAGAATGGCTTTATCTGAGCCACTATGTTCTGCCACTGACTGTGTTTCTTCACAATCTTTCCAAGATCTCCCACAAAAAATGCATTTTTCCCTGTCTATTATGATCATGGGGAAAAAAACACAAAAGAACTATTGAAAATAGAGTACCACAAGTAGTAACTCCCTCTTTTCTCCACAAAAGAGCTAACCTACTCTTTTATATACACTACTACATTTAAGGCTTAAGAGTAATTAAGCAAGATTCAGCACACAGGGAATCCAAATACCTTTTTCTTTCTTTTTAAACTTGATTAACTGTGCTAAGCTGGCATGTAAAATATTCTCTGCTTTTTTAAAAAATGTTATTATACAATTTTCTACTTTACAACTGCCTCAAATTTGGGTGAGTACAGAAGGAGACCACCTGTTTCCTCCCATGCTTTCGTAAGCTATTTAAATATGTATCTCCATTATAAATTGCATCTAACAGGACAGTAAAACAACAAAACAATACTAGGAACCAGTGTTTAAGGAGATAAAGTTGAGGGCAGCCCAGGTGGCTCAGCGGTTTAGTGTCGCCTTCAGCCCAGGGTGTGATCCTGGAGACCCTGGATCGAGTCCCACGTCAGGCTCCCTGCATGGGGGCTGCTTCTCCCTCTGCCTGTGTCTCTGCCCCCCCATGAATAAAATAAATAAATCTTAAAAAAAAAAAAAAAGGAGACAAAGTTGATACCCTACGTATCATAGAGATGACAAACTGGAATTTAAAAAATATATTAGTACACTAAATGGAAGATAAACCTGAGTAAGGATATTCTTCCCTCAAAACTTGAGATTTTCAGGGTGCTTGGGTGCTTAGTCAGTTAAGCATCTGCCTCCAGCTTAGGTCATGACCCCAGGGTCCTGGGATAGTGCCCCATATGGGGCTCTGTTCAGGGAGTCTGCTTCTTCCTCTGCCTGCCACCTCTCTATGTCAAATGGATAAATAAAATCTTTAAAAAAATATTAAAAATACATAGAAACAAATTTTGATTAGGGATCTGGGGAGACAGATAAGGATTTTAACATCGCTACTCTAGGGGTAAAAGAGATGATTATAACATGTCAGGCAAAGTAGAAGTTACTCAATGTTGGATGGGAGACAATCTTACACATTATCTAAATATTGTTTGAAAAGCCACGAATACAACATTACTGCTTTCTACTCTTTAATACACACTGGAAAATGTACCTTATTGGAATATACGGACTAGGAAATAGACATGACTGGAAATGTTTTTTGTGTGGCAAATATAGAACAGTTATACTCAAGTTACTCCATCCTTTCAAGATATGCCATCCCTAATGTTTTAGAGACAAAATTTATTTTTACTTTAACACAAAAATAGGGGGTGAGCAATTATAGTTACCAGCAAGAGAACCGGGGTTTAAAAACAACCCCCCCCGGCCCAAGATGTTCAGTTGTAATCATCCTTGAGCCATACAATTAAATGACACTGCTAGAAGAGAATAGGGTTGCAGACTAACCCTAAGTGTTACTCAATGTGGGATAATTCAAGATTGTGGAACATGAATAATGAAAGAGTTATTTCAAAGATCGTTATCTGACCTACAAAGAATGTTGCACAAGTTAAAGAGAAAGGTCAGCGTACTTCCACTATGAGGTTCTCTAGTGACATGAGATAATTAACTATAGAATGGCTTGACTATACAACAGACTGAATAGTATGAGAAGTGTCACTTTTTTCTCCAAAATTCTAACAGAAGAAAGATAAAGGGATTTTGCTGAAGTGTGGGGAGATTTGAGCACATCTGTGAAGGTCAAGAGTAGTTTTTTGGTTTTTTTTGTTGTTGTTGTTGGTTTTTTTTTTAAGAGTAGTTTTTTTGGCATCTTATTACTGAACACCAGTAACACGAAAACAATTTTTCAACAAATTTGGGGAATATGGGAAATAAGCTCCAACAAAGAAATTTTATCAGTAAGACAATAAAGGTACTTCTATCACTAAGTATAAAACAAAAGTAGTCTTTAAGTAGCAGTGAATATGAGTCTATAGAAGCTGACACTTGGTGTAGTAGAGAGTAAGCATTCTGTATTAAGTTATCAAGTTCTCAGCCAATATACACAACCAAGATTATGTGAAATATAAATTACAATCTACTCAAGCATATAGCTGAGAAAAACAACTTATCAAGGAGAACAGCCATATACCAAGAAAATAGAACATACAAGAGCTGAGTGTTAAAAGGCACAGCAGAGAAAGAATGGTTGGGAAGCCATTAGTTTTAATGTGGGATAGAAAGAAAATCTCATCGCTACTCAAGGGAAGTGGTTGCATCAAATGAAGACAATGTGGAGAAGTTATAAACATCTGAAAAAAGTACTTTTATCAGATTAACATCTTGGAAATAGAGCAACTAGAATTCAGAAATTTTTACACACTGTAACTGAGAAATAGGAGATGGCACACTTACCAGGGTATGTTCATAAACATAGTTATCAATAACATTTCCAAGGTTTGTTCCTTCATCCAACAGGCCAACGGAGTAGTTTGCATCATCAAGAAATCCTTTCATCTCAGCCGTATTCCACAAAGCCGAAAGTCATAAACCAGGAAAAACAAGAGACGGGCCACCAAGCCTTACGTCTGGGTCCTTAGAATATGCAACAAACTGTCAAAATAGAAGTTATTTCAAAGTCTGTATTATTTCACTAGTTAACCTTAATGTAGTAGTTGTCAATGAAAGTGTGCTAAGTGCGTAATTTAGTGAGGAATCTGTGATCACTTAACATTTGCAGAAGCACTAGATCATTCGATATCTTTTTGGTGCCCGTTTTAAAGTGAATGTGTATTTTATACTTTTAAAAACCAACCTCAATATGACAATTTAAGATAATCCACACATGCACAGTTTATTACCAGTCAATATGGTCACCTTATTTATAGAGTTGTAGACCCAGTCAGTATTATTCATCTTGCTTTGTTGTTCTCTCATAACATACACAATTTTAATTTTTTTTGTAATTTTTATTTATTTATGATAGTCACAGAGAGAGAGAGAGGCAGAGACACAGGCAGAGGGAGAAGCAGGCTCCATGCACCAGAAGCCCGATGTGGGACTCGATCCCGGGTCTCCAGGATCGCGCCCTGGGCCAAAGGCAGGCGCCAAACCGCTGCGCCACCCAGGGATCCCCAACATACACAATTTTAGAAGAAAAAAAAAAAAAACATATGCATTCTAAGTAAAGAAAGCTAGTGAAATACCTATCTGCAGCCAAGTAATCCAAATACCGGTCTAAGCTTCAATATACTGCCAGCCACATCCCATAAATTCTACAGTAGGGGAAAAATGAAGTCATAGAAATAAATGAGTAGGGGTGGAGAAAGTGACTTTCGTGGATCATCTGTAGCTTTGATACAGACTGCCTGGAATTTCAACCTGGAAATGATATTGGCTCTTTCAGGTTAGCAGTGTTTAAGTCTCTTATGAGGTAAGCTGAAATCTTTATTGGACTAGATGTAGAAAGACCCATATGTTTGTGGCTGTATCATTTAATATCTATGTGATCCTAGGTCAATTTCTTTAAACTTCAGTTAATTATATTAACTACTGCCTCAAAAGGTTATTGTTAAAAAAAAAAAAGTATAGCATATGAATAAAAAATTCTTGTTTTAAGTGTTGTTTCAGAATAGCTTAAGTTGCCAACTGCCAGAAACACAAAAATGCCATACTTTAAAAGTAGGTTACAAGCGGGCACCTGGGTGGCTCAGTTGGTTAAATGTCTGCCTTCGACTCAGGTCATGATCTTGGGGTGATGGATGGAGCCCCACGTCAGGTTCTCTGCTTCTCCCTCTGCCCCTCCCTGCTCATACGCTCTCTCTCAAGTAAAACCTTAAAAAAAGCAACTAGGGACAAGCTAGGCATCTGGTAGGTATATCCTAAACCATTTACTAAAAACACTGAAAAGGCTAAAATACAACCTCTTCCCTATGGAAGAAATCTTTCCCCTCCCCAAGATCCTCTGGGTAACATACTGACATAAAGGTTTATCATCTTTTCTAAATTCACTGGTCCTTAAACTTTACTTTAAGCAAGGATTTCTTTTAACATAAAAAGTCCATTAGCAGAACAAATCTTCCAGACAGGATTACTGCTTATTATCTGGTACTGATTTCTGGTTGCCACATTAATAATGGACACAGACCAGTTGCTCTTGGTAATCTATTTTAAAACTTGCACAGCTTTTCCTGTGTCCCTCATTCTCCCTTTCCCTCCCTCCATGCTGCTCTATGGTGCTGGTGTTCACCTTTGGTGATGGCTCTTATCTTACAGGTATACTCCATTTCAATGGTTCCCAAAGTGTCAGCTTTTTGAATGCACCAAATTCATCAATAAGCCATCATATTAATCAAATTCCACGAGATACAAACAGTAGTTAGTTCTTCTTAACTTTTAAAACACTAACAACTTCATTTCCAAGAAGTCAACTATATTCAGTTTAGCTCACCAAATCTCTTTCATTCAAGAGTAGAAATAGGAAAGTTGAGAATATCTCAGAAAAGGAGTTAAGTTAGGCATATCTAAGTGAGACTTAATACTTATGCAGTAAAGTAAAATTGTAGCCAGGACTGATGCAAACCTGTGCCCAGAAAGCACTTTAGGCCTGAGGAAACACTTATTTTAAATAATCTTTAACATTTTAGAGGAATATTCAGCTATGCACTAAGGGAACAAGAAAAGATAAAGGTCACTCATTTTAAAAAGCCTATTCAAAGAAAGAGTACAGTAAAAACTTTCAGTTAAGTTTAGCATCATGAACTTCAAGGTCAAACCGCTTCCATTTATGCTATTAATTATGAAACATTCTTAAGATCTTCAGCCTGACATTTTAGGTTCTTGAGACTCCTAAGTTTCTATGTAGTATTTAACTGGGAACCTTAGATTATCAGTCATGAATCTCCAAGTAAACTGCTGCCAAAAAATCTAAAGTCACAACAGTATGTATCTCAATTTACTATAGTTGCAGTCCTTACAGAATAATTTTCCTCTAGCATCAGGCTCCTCAGTACTTAACAAAAACATCATACCCATTCCATCCAGTCTCAACCTGCTGAATGCCTACATTCCTAACGAAAAATTTTTATGGCAGTGTGCCAGGCACTGTTATAAGTACTTTATACATATTAATTTTCTTAACCCTTAAAACCGTTAACAGTATAACCTTCATTTTAGAGGTGAAGACACTGAGACACAGAACAATTTGTTAGCCAGAGATGCCAACAAATTGTGTTTAAAAGCTAAAAAAAAAAAAAACAGTCTCCTCAGCACATCCTTAGAAAAAGGATTCTTTTTTTAGAAACTCAATGTAACTGTCTCTGATAGAGCTTTCTTTATCACATTTCCATAATCAAGTAATTGTTTCTTAAACATATAAATTCCCCTAGTTGTAATAAATAAAGTTTATTTACATATGGTAGAAAAACATCCTATTATGCTTATTCATAGTCTTTTAACTCTTTTCTAGATTTTAACCTTGCTGTTCCTTCTGTATCTTTTGTCTAATTCTCAGATTTGAAATTATGTTTTCCTTTTTAAATCTATTTAATCAGCAGTTTACATGAAACAATGTGCACCCATTTTGACAAATGTATACATCAGCATAACCACTGCCATGAGGGTAAGTTCCTTCTGTTCCTTTTGCAGTAAATCCCCAAATCCACTTCAGCCAACCACTGAGCTCTGTCAATACAGATCAGACTTGTAGAGGTAAAATAATTTTAAAGTATAACCCAGGACCAAACTAAAACAGCTGACAAACAGTAACGTGAATAAAGATAGTGGAAAGCACACCCTGCTCTAAAGGATGCAATGCTTGTGAAATGGCTGTATTATTATTATTGAAATACAACTCTCAAGTCAAAAGTAACCATAGTATTATTTATGTTAGCTCACCAATCCCTACTTGACTCACAAAAGGACTCTGATGGGAAAAAAAAATTCCATTTCTTATATTGGCAGTACTTAAAAAGAATGAAGGGACTAACACACCTAAACCACTAAAACAGATGTAGTACATGTAACATTATTTGATTTCCTTAATTATACAGAGCACTGCAATAAAAACTGTTAAACCAACACTAATAAAACCTATACATAAAAGATAGTCGACATAAGTGAGCTTAGTTTATCTCTTCTTGGATGGTCCCCGAAGATTTTGATACTCCCACAATTCCTAGCTCAGAATAGGTGCTCAAACAGGTGGACAAAGGAGTTCACAACTCTTAAAAATGGGGAGTTCTTAAACTTAGGATTGGCTTGTGACAGCAATAAACTCTTCCAAAGTGTTGAAAAAGATGGTCTATCATTCACATCATTCACATTCTTAAAAGGAACCCAAAAACAGGATACAAAAAAGACCCACATATAAATGCAAAGCTCAACTGTCAGCTGTCTTAGTTAAAAACTCAAAGTTATATCCAGGAAATACTAATACCTCTAAAGAACCTGCAACATATAAAGACCTTCAGGAGATAGCTTTCTACCATATTCTGAGCCAGCAAACCCTTTGTTCAAATGAAATGTCACTTGGAAGCCCAAAATTTCCAACTGAAAGGCTGAAATAGGTGGTAATGGGTAGGCTGATTGTGTTTCTTTTCTACCCCAAATATTATACCCCAATCTCACTGAAAGAGTCCTAAAAAGGAGCCATATTTCCAGGAGCCTTTGTCTAATTTCTTAACATGTTAGCAAAAAATATTTTAAAGCTCCACTATCTCAAAAAGGTTAATGTTCTACATTTCTGCCTTAAAGCTCTAAAGAAATATTTTTCTCGTTTTTCAAGAAGCATTTAAAGTTACTCAGTGATGATACATTAAACCAAAAATCTATGACATATACAATCACATTCTACGGAATCAGAAAGATAAGTCTCTATGTGTTGTGGGTGAGCAGAGTTTATATTGTATACCAGATGTGCCAAGTTAATCCATCTCAATTTAAAATACCACAGGGAAATTCCAGACACCTCTCCATTAAGAATGTACTCAAACTCAGGTAATGCCACACCTACCCCCAACACTCCAATCCTGGGTGTAATTTCCAATGGATACTGCACCATCTTTTATGGCTTATTAATCAGAAATGGGACTTATTTACTGCTCCAACACATATATGACCCACTACACACTCGACTCTGGTGCTGCTAGACATTGAATTATTTGCATTAAACTTCAGAAAAATCTACCCTGTGTAAATCTTAGATTTCCAAATGGAGCAAATTCATTTTTTCACAAAAGCTCTGGGGTTTAGTTTTTAATCAACACATGCTAGAAAGTATTCTCTACTTACAAGCCTTTAAGCCATGTTCACAACCAAACACATTACCAATATATGGTGAAAGCAAGCTCCACTTTTTCACAGTAATACAATTGCTATAATCATAGTACTACTTTTTAAAGTAATTTCCTCTTGGATATTGTAGCTGGGAATAAAAAAGTGTTTAACATTCCTTATTTACACCTTTATTTTGGTGTTTTTTTGGTAATTTTTTTTTTTTTTTAAATGAAGAGCTGCCAAAGAAACAAAGGTTCCAAAGAACTGCACACTGCTCCCTGGAGCCTTCCATGAGGCCGCTGAGTCCTCATGTTCAGTGAGGGGAGCTCCAAGAGTAGTGGCTGCAGCAGCTGGGCACTTGCCTTGTTACACACCTGCTACAAAGGCTTCTATAGTTGATTGTACTTCAGAAGAAACTGATACATCTCTCAAATAATCACAAGATAATTCTGGCAGCAACAGCCCACTTGACACCAAGCTGGATGAATATGAGTCTTGGATTTCTGAAGTGAAGACCTCCCTGGAAGTAGAACAGGGAGAGCTGAAAGGTTGAGAGTACTATTTCAGATACATGTAATAAGGAAACCCAACCTTAATATATCAACCACTTTTCTAAAAGGACTTTTACTCATTAAAGAATGAGAACTTCAGATATTTGAATTACACTACTACTGTAAGGAAGCCTAAGAGCACTTTTGGTTTTTAACATATGATTTGAGGACTTAAAACTCAGCTCACAGCTTTAACAATAGACACAATGCTGTCAAAGTCAACTCTGCATTCTACCTCTGACAGAAATGTTACTTACCATATAGAATACCTTTAGAAATAACTGGACAAAAGAACATTAGAACAGGATTCTCAAGGATGACTTGGCACTATAGATGTGAGGCCTGGAGAAGGTTCGAATCACCAGAAACAGTGCCAGGAAGCTACATACTGGAAATGGTTGGAAGTTCCAATAAATTGTGTGATGACCATAAGACCATATGGATTTTCGCCATACCAGACCAAAAGTAAGTGATGGATAATAACACTAATCTACACTGAGTAACTTAGGATAATCAGGACAAAATCTGCTTCAATCAATGGTTAAGTGGAAACCCAGGAATAGCAATAAACACCCTTAAGCTTACTTTTCAGGTGGTGAGGTAAAAAAAAAAAGAAAAAATAAATAAAAAAACCTGATTAACCCTAGAGAAAGAATATTAAAGGTGACCGCTGAAGAATTATTTTAAAAGACAAGAGCAAGAACAAATAGGATATACATAAGGGAGGGGAGAAAAAAAAAAAAAACAAAGGAAATGAGCCCAACAGACTAAGTTTGAAGATAAAGGCTGCCCTATGAAATGCCTCAAGATTCTAAAAATAAATCTTAATGAGAAAACAAAATACAGGATTGTAATACCAATATACTTTTACATATGAAACTGACAAGATTAGGCTCCCTTTGTCTTGAGGGCCCCTGGGTGGCTCAGTTAAGCCTCTGCCTTCAACTCAGTCACGACCCTGGGGTCCTGGGATGAGGTCCAGCACTGGGAACCCTGCTCAGCAGGGGAGCCTGCTTCTCCCTCTCCCCAACAGCTCATGCTATCAGATAAATAAAATCTTAAAAAAAAAAAAATTTGTCTTGACTATTCGATGTGAAGGCTGAATTTTTTCTGAAGGAAGTGTATGTACCTCACACAAGTAAAATAATTAAGTATGAATGGGAAATATATAACCATATTAATTTCAAGCTTTCTAAGCTTTCTTAGTGTAGTATAGGGAATAACTCTTCAAAGAAATGCACTTAATTACTATTTTGATTCCTTAGGGCAGATCTCACTATCACCTCTCCAAAAAGAAAGATTATTAATATATAAAAACACACGTGCAATACAATGACTGCAGCAAGTACAAGGTTAAGAAATAGAATACTCATGAAACCCTATACATCTTTCCCAGGTGGCAGTGGTCACATCTCCCCTAGAATAAGCATGTTCATGCTTTTTTAATCACTTCCTTGTTTAATTTTATTGTTCCCTATTCCCCTAAAACTTTGGCTTTACTAGTTTTGAACTATAAATAGCATCCTTGTCATTTTTTCTACCATGACCAACATCTTTTGCTCAACATTATAGGCTCCATTCACCTATAGACATGACCGAAGTCCATTAATTTTCATGGCTGTGTAGTATTTTGTGTAGATACACATTTGTCTGAACTGGATCTATGGTTACTTCCCATATTACTTATATTATTTATGACATAACTTCTGTTATTTAGGTACCTAAGGGCAGGGCTATTCAGACTAAGGCCTGCAAACTAGCTGATTCATAAGAACCAAGCAGTCCATGACATTGGGGGAACAAGAGCCTTGTCTGCTGACCGGCGGTTTAAGTAGCACTGATCTATGGCTACGTACTGGGAGAACAGCTAGATTTTTAGTGAAAAATGGTCTTTAACTCCTCTGCTCATTTTTTTTTTTTTTTAACTTGTGGAAGCTCCTTATGAGTTTAGGATAGCAAATACCTCATTTTGAGGATTTGGGGGGAATTGTTTTTATTACAGTGTCCATATTGAACATACTAAGATACTCCCCCCTTCCTACTTTGGTCATGCCAAATAGAACATGTTGAACCTAGATAAAAAGATACTATGCATATTTAGGAACTCTTTATAAACTGGGCATTAGAGGATTCTTGCAGGGAAAAGCAAGCAATAGATGAAAAGTCCTATATTCAACATAAATCTAACACTGTCTCTATAAGCACATAAAATCATAGTACAGAATCATACCCTAGGAGTATGGTAAAGAAATCAACTAAAATTGAAAAAAAAAAAAACAAAACAAAACAAAAACCACTAAAATATAAAACTGAAAAGCCCCTACAAATTAAGGAAGTTTTTTATTAAATATTAAGAAGAGACGTGTAATTCTTAGGATTCCTATTAACTGGTGGCTTAAGATTGTAACAGCTAATACTACTTATGTTCACAATTAACAATCAATACCTTAGAGCAATGCTGTCCAATAGAACTTCCTGTGGTAACTGAAATTTTGTCACTGCTCAAAACAATAGCCATTAGCCATATATAGCTTGCCAGCACTCACAATGTGGCTCACACAACTAAGAATTGAATTTTAAATTCTATTGCATTTTAACTTTCAAAATATAAATAGCCGGCTGGCTAGTGGCTACTTTATTGAACACAGCAGTGCCAGAGGATGCTATTTTCATAAGAATTTTTTTTGTTTTTTAAATTCATGAGAGACACAGGCAGAGGGAGAGGCAGGCTCCATGCAGGGAGCCCGACGTGGGACTCGATCCCAGGTCTCCAGGATCACACCCCGGGCTGCAGGCGGCGCTAAACCGCTGGGCCACTGGGGCTGCCCTAGTAAGAAATTTTAAACTTCTAAGGATCAAGTCCACACACATCACAAATTAAAATTTCAATTAAAATTTTAATTTGTGATGTGTGCCTCCAAATAACTTTGTTCAAGGTAACAAAGATCAATTCACAAGTTTACAAAGCTAGACTATAGGAGCAAAAAAAGTAACAAACCATAGCAAGTTCAGAATAGAGATTTAAAATGTGTGCTTATATAAGATAATGAAGAAAAGGTAAAAAGTTCAGAAAGGATCGTTTGAAAATAATTTATTATCTTGGGTACTTCTGGCAATCAGTTAGTTATAAGGCATTTAAGACCTCAGGGTGGCTGAGTATGGCCCAGGCAGGCTGAACACTATCACTCTAATCCTTTTATGCTGAAGAAGTATTTTCTACTTGTGCCATAACGTTCTTCACATTATTCACTGGAATAGAGAAAGGATGGCTAAATCCCCGCTTCAGTTAGCTTGTGACAAATTGCTTAACTGTCCAAGGATGGTCCTGGAATGGAGGTGAAGGACAAAAAAAAATATCGGTTTCCTAAGCCTTATCAATGTGAGAGCACCTCACATAGGCTTCTCTGAACAATGTCCCGCCTTGAACAGCCTTCTGTTTATCTAGATTTCATATTTTACAAGGTACAAATACCTTATTCACTCCTAATTTAAGTGTCTCAAAATTTTGGGGAAGGGGTGGGAGGAGTCTGAAGTAAGACCACACAAAGGAGTGTAATGGAACACAAAAATTGGTAGTCACTATTAACCCCCCTGGATCACTGTTTTTTATAATAAATGCAAGAACCATTTTATTCCCTTTAAAAATTGGTCTACAATGCTTTCCAATCTTTTTGACCCTCCCAGCAAAGACTCTGAATTTACCCAAAGAAAAAATAGCCATGTTCCCCAAACACTGTTTTATCTATTAAGGTATTTTCACATTGTGCTTGTACAGAATACTTTTCTACTAATTTACATGAGCAGTGAAGAGCCATCAAATACTATTTCATGTATACCAGGGGATACATGTACTTTAAAAACAATGTATTTCAAGCATAGCAGTTTTAGCTTTCTTGTCAAAGAACACCACCAACCATTAATGAATATTCTCCTGAATTTGCTTACATCACAGAATCTATAAATTATCCAAACTAAAATTTCTTTTCTCCATGGTAAATCAAAAATCTGATTTTACTACTGACAACAACAAAACATGAGAAAACAATACTAGTAAATTCATACAGAACATTATCTCCTAGTTAAAATAATTCATTTCAGTTTAGGGCAGGTCCTATTAAGGCATATGCAAATATTACCAATCAGGAGACAACATGAATATTTAAAATGCTGATGATTCTTACGAAGTTCCTACCTGAACATAGTCAACTAATGACAACCACAGAAAATATTTTAGACAAATATTAAGAGTCCATTTAAACCATTCTATTAATTGAAGCCTATTTCTAGATTTAGATACAACTTATTAAAAAGTATGATAATGATTAATTCAATAGGACTCCATCACCAGATCTGTTAATAAAAGTAGTTGGTTAGAAGAGAATTTAGTTTTCTGGAAAGGCCTATTTAAAAATTTTTCCATTAGGCTAATTTTATTCATTATAAAACAAGAGTGACAGCTAAAATAATTTGAGAATCTAGCCCAATGGAAAAAAAACATACCAGCATAAAGCCCTAAGGAACCCTTTAAAAGACATTCAAAAGCTTTGCCACAATGAGAGGATCTTCATTAATCTTAGAAACTACTAGTGTTGAAACATTTGTCAAATATCTTTATAGTGCTCACCTATTGCATCGTACACATATTCCAAAGAAAAACTATTATGTAAGCAACTACCCAAGTTTCCAAATATTTAATAAACTATCTCAAGATTCAGATGGTTACCGGACTTAAAAACCTAACTCTGGGGGATCCCTGGGTGGCGCAGCGGTTTGGCGCCTGCCTTTGACCCAGGGCGCGATCCTGGAGACCCGGGATCGAGTCCCACATCGGGCTTCCGGTGCATGGAGCCTGCTTCTCCCTCTGCCTGTGTCTCTGCCTCTCTCTCTCTCTGCGACTATCATAAATAAATAAAGATTAAAAAAAAAAAAAACCTAACTCTGAAGGGAAATCTTAGAGCTTAGACCATTTGCACAGAACTATATGCTCTGCAATGCTACATACCAAGTATTTTCCACAAAGGCCAGTGTGTTAAAGCCCTTTTTAACGACTTCTGGTTTTCCAAAACAGTATTGTTGCTCCACAGGATTTTAATGTCCACCATAACAAACTCCTATTGATATCTAAGGACATTTCTGGAAAGCAGAACTTTCTCTTGCCATTTTTACTAATTCTAGCCAAGAACCTTTGGAGTCAGAGATCTTTTCCGAATTCAAAATTTCTCAGATTTTAGAATGGTACTATAAGTACATATACTTCATATATATATTATACAACATTCTCTAGGAGGCCAGCACCCTGTAATCACAATATTTCTGCAACAAAATTTAAAAATATTGGCACTTAATGGGATAAGATAAAAACAGCAACATCTCAAGGTTTTGTTTCCAAATCAGTTTAGGTTGCTTCAAGAAAGCTATAAAAATCTTAAGTAATTTTTGAACTTCAGAATTCTATGCATAAGGGACTGTGGGCCTGTAGCTTTATAGCAAAGTTCAAAGTGCTATTGTTTTGATTGTTTTGTTCAACATAATATACATTGTATCTAGACATAATAAGTCAGTTACTTCGGCTGCCAGAACCTTGCAGAGTAATAAGTATCTTTAATATATTCTATCTGTGCTCATCCACTCCTGAAAGAGGAGTAAACTATGGACTTTCCCAGTACTACAGTATTTTAAATAAAAACTACTTTCCCAGATTTGCCAGACTCATTTATTAAGCTATCAGTTCACTGATACAAGTTTAAGAGGAAACACCACTAGAGATATTATTCAACTAAAAAAAAGTCCGTCAAAAAATAAATAAATAAAATAAAAAATAAAAATAAGTCTGTCCTTTAATATGATCTTCCTTAAATCATGAAGCTTGTTCTTGAATTTCCATTTCAGAATCTATTTGTGACTGTGATGTCAACTAGACCCCACCCCAGAAAAGTTAAATCTCCAAGTCAATGAGGGGAGAATATTAGATATATTGGAAATAGAACTGATTACTAACAAAAATTAAGAAATCCCAGACTTGGTACTGAGATGGCAGCAACAGTGCTACTCTACTATGCATACAAGTCACCTGGTTAAAGTGCAGCTTGAGTCAGGTTTAGGTGGGGCTAAGATTCTACATTTCTATTACAGATGATGCTAATCCCAAAACCACACTATGTTAATAAGTGGTGCTTAATACACTCAAAAATGAGAATCACTGTTATCAGCTTAGGGCTAAAGGAACTGTTCTAGTTATAGCTATGATTTTAAAAATAAGCAGTATGCTCAAACTCACACAACTAGGAGAAAGCCAGTATGAAGAATCTTCTAGTCAGGTTTCTAAGTCAGTAGAACTTGCAAGAAATCCTATTATTTAAACCGTTTTCCTCCCCTCTCTTTAGCCTTGCAAATGTGTTGAAAAGGTCTGCTTTAACATACTTTAATTAGATAGAGCAAACATTTTTTTTTTGATAGAATCTAACAACATCAGACTATAGAAACACTATATTGATACTCTAAACTTTTCTGAAAATTTCAATTGTTATCTCCTCCAAGTCTCTGGACAACTTAGAAACATCCAAACCTCAAAACCCAAGTTTCAATAGCAAGAAACGTATAAATTTTAAAAAATAATAATAAACTATGTAAATCTAGCAGCACAAATTCAAAGAACAGTTTACTGTTGAATTGTATGTTGCAGTTTTAGGTACAAAATTCATCTAAGAAAGTGGCATGCTGGAAGACATACATGTATCATCTCTCAGTAAGTCCTCTAAAAGCAACCAATTTTTCTCCACCAGCTGAGTACTATATAAACCCATTTTATGAAACAATTATCAACTCTAGTAATCCATTATATCAGGCAAGACGCTCAAACTAGAAAAACAAGAAGATTCATCTCTTATATCCCATATTGTGGGGTACAGTTTCAGTTAGTGGAATGAAGAACAGAATCTTTTGCAATATTTAAATGCCTACACCTTAAGTTAAAAACAGACAAAATACAAAATCTTTCCAACTTATATTAAAACCTGGGCTAGGGGATCCCTGGGTGGCTCAGTGGTTTAGTGCCTGCCTTTGGCCCAGGGCCTGATCCTGGAGTCCCAGGATCGAGTCCTACATCAGGCTCCTTGCATGGAGCCTGCTTCTCCCTCTGCCTGTGCCTCTGGTGCGCTCTCTCTCTCTCTACCACGAATAAATAAATAAAATCTTTAAAAAAATTTTTTTAAAAATAAAAAATAAAATAAAACCTGGGCTAGTTAAGACTTCCTAAAGCTTGGCTTGTAGTATGTACCTAAATATAGTAATACTTGTTATGTACCCAAAATAAATTTTAAGTGATCCAATCATTGGTAAACAATGCATACAAAGCTGAATCAGGGGATCCCTGGGTGGCGCAGCGGTTTGGCGCCTGCCTTTGGCCCAGGGCGCGATCCTGGAGACCCGGGATCAAATCCCACATCAGGCTCCCAGTGCATGGAGCCTGCTTCTCCCTCTGCCTGTGTCTCTGCCTCTCTCTCTCTCTGTGACTATCATAAATAAAAATTAAAAAAAAAAAAAAAAAAAAAAAAAAGCTGAATCAGTATACCCATAACTGTCAAACCTTTATGTTAGAACTATTAAAAAGCGCTTTAAAAGTCACTTCACTTTTAAGAGATAAGTACAGTTTCAAGTTTTGAAAAAAACTGAGCGGGATCCCTGGGTGGCTCAGGGGTTTAGTGCCTGCCTTTGGCCTAGGGTGTGACCCTGGAGACCCGGGATCGAGTCCCACATCAGGCTGCCTGCATGGAGCCTGCTTCTCCCTCTGCCTGTGTCTCTGTCTCTTTCTCTCTGTGTCTGTCATGAGTAAATAAATAAATAATCTTTAAAAAAAAAAAAAAGAAAAATAAAAAAACTGAGCAACAAAGAACTCTCCTTTACTTCAATTTTACAAGAGCCCCAGCGTAGATATGAAAATACTTACATGGACAAGTTAGGAGATGGAACCCCCCTATCATCAGCTAGGTTCCCAAGGTGGCTCAGCGTTGAAGTCGAACTGCTCTCTATACAGCACTTCTCCTAGGCCCTCTGGGTAGTTGTATACTTGGTCAGAAAGTTCGCCCTAAAGAAAGGAATGAAAATAGTAGTAAATAGTCCTAAATTAAGAAAATTAGCTTGTTCTTCGAGCAGATTAAATTGACTTAAAGATTAACTATGGGAATAAGTTTTAGTTTTAAAAGAGTGTTTCATCAGTCACATTATACAAACGATGTTTTCAAAAGGTTTACCATAATACCAAGTACTTTTTTTCTGTAGTAAAAATTTCCAAGCTGCTAGAAGTACAAAATTCAGAGCTCGATGTCATGATCATCTTTCCAAGTCGCTTTATCTACCTAACACAGTTTCCAGCCTTCATCTAATTTCATTTTCACTTTTATTCATCTTCTAAAACCCAAATTTCCCAGTGCCCTAAAATTGAAAATTTCCAAGTACCCTCATCAACCTGATGTATAATGTTCTGGCATGATCTGTAATCTGGAACTACCCAGAACATTTCTTTTACTCTCCAAATTTCAAGTCCTCTTTACTTAAAATGTAGAATCTTACTACATACCAAAAAGATCTTAGCTGATATGCCACTTATGTGAAATAATGCTTGATAATTGCCTTATACAGCAGGCAAGTATTTAAGGGTTGTATCTCTCTTCCACATACCTTAACCTATCTAGACTTTCGTCTACAATCACTAGAACTATGAATGTGAAGTGCTTAGCATGTTACAAAAAGCTAAATTTGAGCCATGGTTATTACTGATTATGGTTTGCTTGGATGGATTTCTCACCTTCAAACAAAACTGCTACATCTATACTTCTAATCATAATTAGGTGGTTGTTACTTTAAACTAATATAACCTGACAGGACTTCCTAGAAAAGGTGATAAGGAAGCCAGAAAAAGGATTAAACTAGGAAGTATAGGGTTAAGAATCAGAAAAATTTCAAAAGTACCCTAGACATATGTAAAGCATCTCAAAAAAATAAAAATTAAAAAAAAAAATAAAGCATCTCTCACCACCAGGATAGAAGCATCCTTGTGGTTCTTCAACCTACTAGGAGAATCTGCTCACACTCTTGGATGAGTCAAGAACCCATACAGACATGTAACTGTGATTATAATCTTACTATTAAATTTCAAATAATATACTCCAAAACAAAGATTTTGATTCTTCCCACACCAAGATAATTTTTAAAATAATTTAAAAGCTGACTCATGCTGAAGACAGAGTTTATTCTCAATTATCCTATGTCTTAGGATAATTACTCTGGGTGAAAAGACTCATCTCACCCCTACCAGGTATACACACAGCTATTTTGCTTAATGTAACCCAAGAGCAGTGGCGTAAAATGTTAAAGATATTAAACTTCGGACATTCAAAAATGTTCTTCAGCATGATCTCTAAAACATTTCCATCTAACAAAAAGATACTAATAGGAAATGAAGGCCCTAAAATATGAAAGGCACATTTTAGTAAAATATGAAAGGCACATAGGCTAAGAGGGCCAGTTACATACAGGATATTTGTACAGTTAAAATAAACCATAAGGAAGTTAAATGAAAATGTGGAGAAAAAGAGGTATAGGAAAAGATAATTATTCTTATTTAAAATGGTATGTGTAATCAGTTGCAATCAAGTTCTTTAACTGAAGAAAATGTCTCGTTACATCTATGTGAATAAGCATGGGAAGAACTAGTCTTGACTGAAAGCAGTAGGTCTCTACCACACACACAAAAAAACTCATTATTTTAGCCTAGTATCCTCAAATTATCAGCATTTCCCTGAATAACAAATATTGTCTTTACCAATGACTTTTTAAGAAGTTGCTACGTGGCATTCTTTCCCCAAACCCCAAACTAAAGTCTAATTATGAGAAAAAAAAAAATCAGACAGCCAAATTGAAGGACCTTCTATTGGATATCGGGCCAATACTACTTCTCTAGGCTGTCAAGGACATGACAAACAAGGTTAAGAAACTGTCAGAAAGAATTGGGGAAAGCATGACAACTAAATGTAATGTGGTACCTTGGATTATCCTGGAACAGAAAAAGGACATTAAAAACTGATGAAATTAGGGATCCCTGGGTGGCGCAGCGGTTTGGTGCCTGCCTTTGGCCCAGGGCGTGATCCTGGAGACCCAGGATCGAATCCCACGTCAGGCTCCCGGTGCACGGAGCCTGCTTCTCCCTCTGCCTGTGTCTCTGCCTCTCTCTCTCTCTCTGTGACTATCATAAATAAATAAAAAATTAAAAAAAAAAACCTGATGAAATTCAAATAAAGTCTGCAGTTTAGTTCACAGTAATGCATCAAAGTCAGTTTTAGTTTTGACAAATGTACCACAGTAAAATGCTAATAATAAGAACTGAATGAGAAGTATGCACCTCCGTACTACCTTTGCAACTTTTCTGTAAATCCAAAATTATTTCAGAATAATTTATTTTATAAAATTAGGCAAAGTATTCACATAATGGACTACCACTGAGAAATAAAAATAACCTACTGATCTACGTATCAGGGTTAAGTATCAAAAAATGTGCTGAATTAAAGCCTTTTACATAAAATAATGCTAACAATATAATTCCATTTACATGCAAGTTTTAGAATAGACAGATCTATGATTAAAAAAAAAATCAGAATCCTGGCTGCCTCGGGAAGAGTGGGGCGGGGGGGATAGCATTTGAAGGGGTAAAAGACAAGTTTCTGGCAATGCTCTACATCTTGATAGATTTGGATTACACTACTCTTATTTTTTGTTAGAACCTACAAAATGATAGATTAAAGATCTGCGCATTGTATCCAAAGGTTTTTCTTTTTAAGAATAAACAGTATTAAACTACAGCACATACTTATGAACTGAACACTGGTAAAGTGTTCTGGTGTCTCCAACTTTGAATGAAATACACGGAAAAATGAGATGGATTGATGAATGGATAGCAGGATGGCAAATAAAGCAAAATGTTGCTAAATGAATCTAGGAGAGGGTACAATTCTTTTGCCTTCTATGTTTGAAAATGTGTAAATTAAATAAATCTGACAAGAGAGAAGGCACCGATTACGTGATCACTGCACCTACTATAACTCATTTAATTAGGAGCCAACATTTCCTACTAAATGTAAACTCCTCAGGGCTTTGTCTTCATGACCATGATCTGCATTCTCACATTTGTAAAAAAAAAAATAATAATAATAAAAATCAGGGCCTTGCCTGACAATCATTAGCCATATTTCTGCCAGGTTCGTCCCATCAACTCTTCCCCCCACACAGCACTTCTCTCTCTCTCTCTCTCTCCTTTAAGAGTCCTCAGGTTCCCACCCAAGCTGGGGGCTTAAAGGTCGAAAAACTACGGGATAGAAAACATCTTAAAAGATCCAAGATGCCACCACAAAATCCAGTTAAATCTGAACATCATAGGGCTGTAAACTGTGTCCCCGACTTCAGGTTTCTGACCCAGCAGTTTAGCCCAAGACACATACACGCTCAAATATTTTGGGCAAGAGTTGAAACACGTCACCATCATTCCTGTTGGCAGTCAAAATAGCACTTGATAAGCCACCCAAGCCTACCGTTCTCCCTCTCACTGCCCAGGAATCGTGGCGCGGACGGGAAAACGAAGCCATGGTGACTAATCCTCAGGCTCTAGGAGGTGACTGGGGTGAGTGAAGGCGACTTGGCCCAATCAGGAGCGCCGCAGGGGGCGGAGTAGCAGCCCCGAGGCTTCCAGAAGGGGCCAAAGGCCTCTCCCTCGCTACCTGACACCGGGGCTTCCCTGCCTCCGGGCCTCGAGTGGCGTCAACTTTCCTCCACCAGAGGGGGGCCGCACTCCCCGCACCCCAAGAACCAGTCCTCCTTCGGCAGCTGTCACAGGAGGCCGCCGCCGGGCCCGCCCCGCTCCATTCATAAGGCCCCAGCCGTTGCAACCCTTCGCGCCGCCCGCGGGGTTACCGGAGGCGACGGGGCTCCGGGCTGGGGCTGCGGGAGCAAGGCCCCTCAAGGCTGCGGCCCGGCCCCCCTCCCCGGAAACAGCAATGCACCACGGGAGAGGGGTGGGGGCCGCACGCCGCCGGGAGACTGCGCCGACCCCCGGCGGAGACCCCCACGAGCGCCCCCACGCGCACACGCCCCCTCACCTTAACCGCGGCGGCGGCGGCGGCGGCGGCTCCCGCTCCGCCGAGCGGCAGGCGGCCGCCGGAGGGCCCCGAAGCGCGCCCGCCACCCCAGCCCGCCGCGCCGGCACCGACCGCCGCCACACACACCGCCGTCCGCCATGTTCGAGGCAGCCGGCCGCGGGGCACTGCGGGCCGCCGGTCGGGCGGAGGGGCCCAGCCGGCAGGCAGCCGGCAGCTCCCCGAGGCTGGCCCCGCGCCCCCGCGCCCCTCGGGTCGGTACTCACGTGAGATAACGGCCCAAAGAGTCGGGTAAAGCGTCTTCTCTTTTTCGGCGGAATTTTTAAAGAGGGATGTGGTTACCTTGAGCAGAAATACCCAAGGCGGCCTGGGCCATAGGCTGCGGGGACGACGTGGGGGGAAAAGCGCGGCACCGACACCAGCTGTGCAGCAGTGGCGGCGGCGGCCGAAGGGAGAAATAGAACAACGCGGGCAGAGAAGAATGGCGAGGACTGGGTGGAGAGAGGATTCGGCCTCGTCACACTGCAGAGCCGAAGACCGAGAAAGGATGAAAAGAGGCAGAGGTGGGGATAAAAAGGAAACACTGCAGCCGAGCGAAAAGCCAGAGAGTGTGGGAAGGCGGCGCCGCAGACGCCAGTACTTATAACAAGGGGGCGGGGTCTGGTGACGTCACAGCCGGCCGGGCCGCCGCGCGAGCGGGGCGGAGCAGGGCTGCGGCCCGGGTCGAAGGGAGGGAGCGGAAGAGAAAGGCGTGAGACGCGGGCAGCGGAGTGGGGGGCGAAAGGGGGCGAAAGGGGCCGGTACGGGCTATCCTGCGTGCAGGTGCCCAACGCCTGTGGCTTCCCGCCCTCCCGAGGGCCGTCGCTCCTCACCCGGCGGAGCCCCGTGCGCTCGGACGGGGGCGGGCGAGGGGAAAGGGACGCGCCGGGGCCGGGGCCGGAGCGCAGCGTCGCCGGCGCCTGCAAGCCCCGGGCGCCTGCGCTCCCGCCTGCGGCTGGCCCCGGCGCGGTGGGAGTTGGGCTCGGCGCCCCGGCGGCCACGACTTCCAGAGTCGTGCTGGGCCGGGGGCAGCGGCTCGCGTGCACCGCCGGGGGAGGCTCTAAGGGAGGCCCTGTAGGGCCTTCGCCGGAGCTCCGCCCCTCGAGAGCGCGACGCTTTGGGAGGGTTCCACCGGCTGTGCCCGGGGACTGCCCTCCCAGGGTGAGATAGCGCACTCCTCCGTGGAAGCCAGTTCCTAAATGGCCGGGATGGATGGGCCCAGCGCTGGTGAGGTTACCGAGAGCCTCCTGACCGCGTGAAAAAGTCCCCAGTGCGCGTATGTTACAATATGGTGCAGTAGGATTTTTTTTTTTTAAAGGAGTGTGGCCTCTATGTCATTATTTAAAGGGTTGGTGCAATTACACCCAGCCCTTATTAATGAAGGGCCAGTGTTGGTGAGAGGATTACTGATGTTACAAACGCACGATACTTTAATCCTCCACTTCATAACAAACTTTTTAAACTGGGGAACCTAATATGACCTACATAGCTTTTAATTTATTCTCATCTTTTAAAAATGTCTTCATATTAGTGATCAGAAACTTTTGAGTCCTCTCATGCTAACTCCTTGTGAATCAAGAGTCAATGACATAAATGAAATGTATATTTATACATCCCTCCCAAGTTAAAATCTATGAGATTAAGACCTTGACCTTTTTTTTTCGTTCGTTTTTCCCCACCTTCAATTTACTTTGTGAGCAGCACTGTGTCTAATTAATAAATCATAAATTAGAAAAGAAGAGTAATAGCCTTCCTAGATGGAAAGATAGCAAAGCTGAAATGTAGGCTTTTGGAGGAAAGTATTGAGTAAAAATTGGGAGCTGTGGATGCTCCCTAATTTTGTTTTTCTATATTTCACTCTGCTATATCTTGACTTTTCTTTCATTCCTTAAAAATTCTTTTTGATTCAGAATATTTAGAAACACAGCACTTTACTAAACCCCCTGGTGGAAGGAGGTGGCTAGAGATGAATACACTACTTGAAATCTTGCTTACAATCTAGCAGGAGAAATAAGACAACTACACAAAATAAATTTTTTACAGAGAAGTGATATGCAATGTGGAACCTAGTGGAGAGAGGAAATCATTGCAGCTGAGAGAAAGGCTGCTAGGGAAAGGTAGTGATAAATTTTGAGAGCAGATGTTCCAAACATTGGGGAAAAGTGATTTTGAGAGCAGATACTCTAGGTAAGGAAACAAGTGAGAGAAGGCACAGAAATGAGCCAGTTTAGAGAATTGTGAGTGGGCTTTCTGGCTCCAGTGTAGGGGCCTGGTTGCTAATGAGATAGAAAAGGTAGGTTACGGTGAGATCAAGAAATGATCAGAGCTAGCACTTTATTCTGGAACCATTTAAGCAGGAACACGATATACTCAGATGTTTTCAAAAGATTATTCTGGTATCAGTGGAATTAAAAATAGGTAGAAAGTTTGGAAGACACAGTGTGGGGACTCTTTAAAAAGTTAAGAATGCAGGGATCCCTGAGTGGCGCAGTGGTTTAGCGCCTGCCTTTGGCCCAGGGCGCGATCCTGGAGATCCGGGATCGAATCCCACGTCGGGCTCCCGGTGCATGGAGCCTGCTTCTCCCTCTGCCTGTGTCTCTGCCTCTTTCTCTCTCTCTGTGTATCATAAATAAATTTAAAAAATTTAAAAAAAAAGTTAAGAATGCTAAGGGGTTCCGAATGGATGGGAGAGAAAAGGCATAGAAAACTAGAATGTAATCTTTGAATGTCAAGAGAGATAAGGTGTCAAATGATTTGGGTATATTAAGCTAATTAACAGGGAGGATTCTGGAATTATGAACATAGGTAGAAATAAAAGAACCCAGTTTGGAGGAAAGAATATGAGACTGCTTTGAGCATAGTTGAAGTTGTTATTGTAATATCCATGTAAAGATGGTCCAAAGGCCCCTGGAAATAGGGAGATCTGGAGCCCTTTGGGCTATGAATTTGGGAGCCTTTCTTATAGACATGATGATTAAGAAAATGTTGAGGTCTACAGGAAAAGGGTTGTAAGTACAGGAACCTGAGAAATGCCAGAGAGAAGAGAGGCTGGCAGAGAAAACCAAGAGGACCAGCCAGAGAAGTGGAAGGAGAATCACCATAGTACAATGTCAAGCCATGTAAGAAGGATGGTGTTCCAAGATAGAAAAAGTGATTAAGATGTCTTATCACTCAAACAGGATGATTGGGGGTTCTGATTCTGGCAAGTGGCAAATCATGGGTAAACTCTGATCTCCTGTTAAGTTTGGATTTTTATCCCTAAAAAGTTTCAATCATGGGAGTGGTTTGAATTTCAGAAAAAGACGACTGTGAGGATAGGAAGAAGAAGGGCTACAAGCGTATGGCAGAGAGAACACTTGGAAAGCTATTGTAATGATCCATCAAGAATGATAAGGGCCTGAAAAGAAGTTATCTGTGACTTTTAACTGAGTAATTTCAGTGGAGTGGGAGGCACAGAAGTTAAATTTGAGTGAGGAGTAGCTGAGGTGAAGTCATTGGATGTTGACCACTCTTTCAAGTGGAAGGTACTGGACCTGAGCCTAATTCAACATCATTTATACTATGAAGCAATTCAACAATCTATTATTCAAATGACATGCCCTCATGATTAGTGTTTGTGTATTCAAAATTAAAGAATAATACAGCTAGCACTATTGTATTTATTGTAGTTGAGGAAAACAATAGAACCTTAAAAATTGTACTGCAGTGGACTAGCCAACATAGTATGTAACTTTAACAGAACGATAGCTTCCCTAATGAGAACAGCATATTTAATTGTGTTTGGGGTTTGAGGTTTTGGTTTTTTTGCCAAGTTAGGTTACTCATATATAAAAACACAGGTAGTGCCAGGGAAACTATTATTATTAAACAGAAAGCCCTAAGATAAAGTGATACAGTACCATTCACACTTAGGTCATCCTGGTCCATTGATTCAAACTTACTTGCTTTTGTGCCAATAGTTATAAAAGTTGGAATGAATTAGGTTGATGATAAAAACAAGTCACTCAAAAACAATAGGTACGCCTAAAAACAGCCTATAATAAAAATATCTTGTTATCACATATATAAATATGACAAATGTAGAGCCCAATTATAATCAAGAGTAAAAATACCAGTTTAATGGGAATCTTTAAAGAGAGCTTAATAAGCATTTTTATTGCTAAAGTGCATTCTTTGAGTACTCCTTATTATATAGAAAACTAAAATATATAGTTTTTGTTTTGGGTGTTTTCGGGGGAGTTTTAAAGTTTTAATGTTAAGTTTCATAGGTAATGGTAATACTCTGAAATTCAAGCATTTTAAAGAATACTTTGTAAAAATAACATTTTCAAACTGATATATAGTAAAAAAAAAAAGTAAATTAATAATCTATAATGTATAAATAATATTTCCACAGTTCAAGTTTTCACATAGTCAAAATATCTAGGTTTTGAATAATTAAAACATTCACATTTTTAAAAAAGTTTTATTTAACTAATCTCTACACCCAACGTGAGGCTTGAACTCACGACCTCAAGATCAAGAGGCCCATGTTCTTCCAATTGAGCCACCCAGATGCCCCAAACATTCACATTCTTTTTTTTTTCTTTTTGATAAGCAACATAGCAAAGTTTATTGAGTGATAGCTCAAAGCTTGCAAAGAGGGAAGGGCCCAAGAGGGTCGTCATTGGAGTTTCTTTTCTTTTTTTTTTTTTTTTTTTTAATTTACGATAGTCACAGAGAGAGAGAGGCAGAGACACAGGCAGAGGGAGAAGCAGGCTCCATGCACCGGGAGCCCCACGTGGGATTCGATCCGGGGTCTCCAGGATCGCACCCTGAGCCAAAGGCAGGCGCCAAACTGCTGAGCCACCCAGGGATCCCGTCATTGGAGTTTCTAAGTCTAGGGTTTTAATGGACTTGCTGAAGGGCTGTTTTAATCTAATTAACCCTCCCTGCACCTGTCATCCAATCAGGTTTTTGTTATCTATCACGTGGGAAAGGGGAAAGGGTAGAGGTCTCCTTCCAGGGTAGTGTAAATCCTTTTAAGGATTATTTCCTCCTGGCATGGGGTGGGGGGAGAGGGGTGTTGTCCTTGCCTGCCTTTCTTCCAACTATCCTCCATCATTCCCCACTAACTGTAACCCTAACTGCTGTTAGGGGAAAAGGTTCACATCTGATCATAGCTACTTCCTGCTGGCATAGGAGTGGGTGTGTCGGGGTATTGGATGGGCAGCAGTCAGGATCCCTCTAGTTCTAGCCTGTCAAGGGATCCCCTGTAGAAGTCTGGTTTGACCTCCATGTGAGGCTCCACCATTTGGAGTTTGATGACCTTTATTCTGGAAAATATAAAGTGGGTTAAGGCATTTAGGAGGCGAGTCCCAGAGCACAATGCAAGATGGAGCATAGCCTAGCATAAATCAGTTAAACGTTACATTTAAGAAGACTTACATGTGTCTTCTTGTTGCTTCCACTAGTTCAAGGTCCTTTCTGGATTCACAGAAGTGTTTCTGGTTCCTTATTGTTAGGCCCTATTGGGGACCAGGGTTTGACTCTGGAATGGTGGATCCAGGCTTCAAAAATCACTGTGTATGGGCCTTCCCAGACTGGCTA